GCACCGTCGCCGCCGCCGGCGCGTCCCCGCGCGCCGGGGCGATCACGCCGACCTGCTGGTGCGGGGGCGGCGGCTGGGAGCCGGCCCCGCGCGGCGGCGGGGGCTGGCCGGGGGGCGGGGCGGCGGGCGCGGCGCCGGAGCGCGCGAGGGCGTCTGCGTACGACTGCGCGGCGGCGAGGGGGTTTGGATGTTTGGCGTTGGCCGGGTTCAGGATTTATGTATGCGTGGGTAGTTTATGCGTTTGCGCAAGGGGGCCGACGAAAGCCGAGGGCTGGCCCAGTGGCCCAGCTGCACAGACGCCTTCACTAAAGAGGCGTGAGCGTGGCTCAGCTCCCAGCCAAACTGACACACAGGTGCGCGCGCGCGCACACACACACACACACTCACACACACACTCAACACACTCACACACACACTCTCTCTCTCTCAGTCGCTCTCTATCTTGCTTACACGCCCAAGCACACGCGCACGCCGACACACAACCATCTCATGCACCCCCTGCACATGCACCATACGCTGACCAAGCCCATCGCCCCGCCCACCTGCATGAGCTGCTGGAATATGGCGCACAGCGCCCCCTGCTCCAGCGGCTCCTGCAGCGCGGCGCGGCACACCCCCAGCAGCAGCGACCGCGGGTCCGCCGCCGCCGCCGCCCCCACAGCCCCGCCCGCAGCAGGCCCTGGGGTTGCGGGCCCTGAAGCGGCCGCGGCCGCCGCCGCGGCGGGCGAGGGGCGGCGGCGCTGCAGGAAGCCGACGAGGGCGGGCCAGTCCGAGACGGAGTCCGAGATCGCGGCGAGATCGAGATTCAGTCTGTGCAGGCGGTGCCCGCTCGTATCCAGCACCAGATTCGGCATGACCAGCCGCCACCCCGGCGTGTGCAGAGCCTCGGACGACTCGTACACAGGGGGCGGCGCAGCCCCGCCCGCGCCGCTGCCCGCGCGGGACAGGCGGCCGCCGCCGCTGGGCTCCCCCGTGGCAGAGGCGGGGCCGGGCGCGCGCGAGAGGCGCCGCAGCGGCAGCGGGCCAGTCAGCGGCTGGCGGCCGGGGGGGGCGACGTCAGCCAGGACGGCGACGGCGGCTGAGGGGTAGTGCATGACGAGGACGTTGTCAACAACAGACAGGTCCACCTGGCGTTTCAAATCGCATTGTGTTTGCAGAGCAATCAACGGTGCACTGAAGAAAGATCGCTGGAGGTGCGGAGAGAGAAGGGAAGCGCGCAGCTGCCGCCATGTCGACCGCCACAAGCGGGACCGGGCGCCGCTTGGAAAAACGCTCCCTGCATCCACATTTGAAAAGCTGCAGCGGTGCCCACCTGCGTGATCAAGTAGGTCACACACAGCTGATCCCCCACACACACCTGCGGGTTCACGAGATCGTACAGCCGCTCCAGCAGCAGGGTGTCCGAATAAAAGCGGTACAGCTCCAGCCGGGCCCCTGCACCAGAACCGCCGCCACCATCAGGCGCACCGCCGCCGCCGCGCCGCGCAACGTGCGCCAGGTACACCCGGCCGTACATCCGCAGCAGCCACACGCCCGCCGCGCGCCGTGCAGCCTCCGACGCGCCGCATGCGCCGCACACACCGCAGCCGGCGCGCAGCGTGGGCGCGCCCGGCTGCTGCGCCGCCGGCTGCGCGTGCGGCGGCGGCGGCACCATTGACCCAATTGCTGGCGGCGCGACTGGCGTCACCTCAGCCCACAGCAGCCGCTGCGGCTGCTGCTGCTGCTGCTGCCGCTGCTGCCCCAAAGCTTGCCCCCGCGCAGCCCCCGCCGCGCCCCCCGGCCCCGCGTCGGGCTGCGAGCCCAGGAACTCGCGCGCAGCCGCGGACGCCGGCAGGGGCCCGTGCAGCTCGAACACCGGCAGGTGGACGATGCCCGCAGTCGTGAACTGCCAGCTGGACAGCACCGGCGCGCCGCCGCCGTTCTGTGCCGCAGGGCCGCCCGGCGGCGCGCCGGCGCCGCCGCCGCCGCCGCCCACGATGAGCATTCGGGTTTCGTGCGTGTATAGGCACCACTCGCTGCGGCGGCGGACGCGCTGCTGCAGCTTCAGGCCCTGGCGCCTGCGGCCGGTCGGCGGGCGGGGTTTTCGCGGCCGGCGGCAGAGAGGGGGGACCTGCCTGAGTGTGTGTGCCCGGCAGCCTCCCAGGGGGAACACCCTCCGCCCCATGCGCAGCAAACAAGCAGGCGCGCGCGCGTGGCGGTGGCCCCGGCCCCCGGCCTGCCTCTCGGCCAGCGCGGGCGGCAGGGCGGCGCGGCTCACTTTGCGGCGAAGGTGTTGAGCTCCACCCCGCGGTCGGTGACCACGACCACGTCGGCGCCGGGGGCGTCCGTGAAGAAGAAGCCCAGGATACGGTCGCGGCCCTGATGGGGGGTGGCGGTGGTGGTCTGTTCAAATTCAGGGCGCGCAAGCACCCGGGCTCAGGGTGCGGCCGCCGCTTGGGGCGGGCGGGGAGCTCTGGCGGGGGCGTCGCGGCCGCGAGTGCGGCACAGGCGGCGCTCCGGCTCCCAACTGGCGTGCCGCCCGGCCACACCTTGACACGCCCCCAGCTCGTCGAGTCGTCGCAGCCCACCAACCGGCGAGCCCTTGCATCCCACTCCTTGGGGGCGCCCCGGCTTGAGCGCCGTCGCGCGTGCTGAGCCCGGCCCCACCTTGTGCGTGCTGGCGACGAAGCAGTTGCCTGTGGCAAGGTCCACCAGCTCCAGCAGGCAGGGGGCGCGCTGCACCGCCAGCATGCGGTTGTCCAGCGACGGCCGCAGCGACAGAACGGGGGGACCATCCTGGGGGCGGGGCCGGCGCAGCGGGACGTTGCGAACCGAGTTGCTAATCGCTGATTGGCGGGGCGCGCCCTGCAGATATCTGCTCATTTCGAGCACACACGGACAGTCGCCGCACCAGCCGCGCACGCGCATGCCAGCGGTACGCGTGCGCGCCCATGCGCGCGGAGGCGCGCACGCGCACGCGCGCGCATACCTGCAGCGGGTACATCCACCTCAGCGCGCCGCCCTCGCATGCGTACGCAAACACGTGGCCGCCCTTGACGGCCAGCAGCTGCTGCGTCGCGTCGTCGAACGCGAGGTGGGTCAGGTCCTCCTGGGACAGGTCCACCCCCGCATCCATCAGGTACACGTGCGCCACAGCAGGCGGCGCGGGCACGGGCGCGGGCGCCGGCGCCGCCGGCCCTGCTGTCGCTGCGGCTGCTGCGCCGTCCATCCTTCTGATAGCTATGTCAATGAGGGTGGGAAAGGCTGAACCGGGCCCCCAGCCGCGGGACCAAGGTGTGCGCGAGCCAAGGTGGTAGCCTGGATCTGGATTATGCCGGATCAGATCAGATCAGAGCTGCACCATGAAGCTCTTGATCTGCATGAGGAGGTCTGCCTTGACGCTGTCCGGCACAGCGGCGCGGCCCTGCGGGCACGGCGAGCAATTCGATGCGTGGTCAGGACAAGTCACACGTGCGCGTGCATGTTTATACGCATGGGCGATGACTGCGTTGGGCAGGGCGTAGGGCTGCAATGAGCGGTGCCAGCCCATTGCGCGATGCACGTGCATGCGTAAACCTCCATGCGCACGCATGGACCTCCGCACGAAATGCATAGAACGACAACGTTTCCGGGCGAACGGCCCAGCAGTGCATGCGGGCCCCCCCATCGCACCTGCGGCCGCACGTGCCTAACGACGTCGTCTGCTGTGACGTTGTCGCGGCCCCGCTGCTGGATGTACTCTGGCGCGTGCAGCGGCGAGCGCGCGGAGCAATACAAAAGCGGCAGGAATCAGGCAAGAATTTCTACTGAGCTCGCAGCTGCGGGCCACTGTGCGTGCTGTCTGCACAGCATCGAAGCCATAGCGCCCTTTTCCCTGCGGCCTAGGCCCCTCAGTCCGCCCTGTTTCCCAGAGTCCGCGGGCCCGGCGCACCCCTGCAGCGCTGCTTGACGTCGTCGCGCCAGCCGCACTCGGTGAGCTTGTCGCGCAGCAGGCGCTTCAGCCGCTCGCGCTCTCCGGACCGGATGAGCTTGGCGCAGGCAAGGAGACCCAGGTGTGGCGAGCGTGGGCAGTGTCGGCGGGGGTGTTGCCGCAACGGCACAGTACGAGCAGCGGGCGCAGCGCGTCGACCGCGCACCTCGTGGCGGATTTTGGCCTCCAAGCTGACCTCCCGCGCAGCTGCTGATGCCTCTTCCTCCTTTGCGTCGTTTTTGACTCGGCTAGACATGGCTGCTGGCCATCCGGGCTCACGAGTTTGCAACCTGAAGAGTCTGCGTGGCTAGATCACAAGAAATGTCGTCACTAATGAGCAAGGTGCGTGCAATTATATAAAAACGTGTTGTAATTGTGCAGTTGCAGTGAAAGGAGTATCATATACTCGCTCCCCTGCCATTTGCAAGCAAAGCCAACGAGCCAATCTGCAGTCATCTCAAGCAAGCAGACAGCGCTGCAGTACGGTTGCAAATCTAGCGGTAATATCGAATGACCTGCTGCCGAGTGCTGCGTGAGATATCTACACATGGTTGGGTGGCGGTTGCATGATTGTAACCCCCGAGCGTAGGCCGGCACACCCGCCGACCCTTGTACGGGCGGCCTCCTGTGCTGACCTGCCCCTCTATGATGCGCTGGAGGTAGAACAAGGAGCAGGCGTTGCTCTTTGCATTGCTAACATGGGCGTTGGCCGCAGCCGCGCAGATGGGCAGGCACGCGGAGGTGTGGAGCGAGGAACGAAAGGCGGGTGCAACTATGCTAGCAACGGGCCTGGATGTTGGCATTGCACCCTGGCCAGAAACTGCGTTGTGTCAGCCGCAACGCACCCAGCTGCCCAAGGCCTTTCAGCATCGATGGTAAGAATGCTTGTTGGTTGCTGCAGTACCACAGTAGGTGTCACTGCACACTCAGCACATCCACCACATTCACCTTCATCTAGGGACAATGCCACTACCTGCCCCTTGCACACGTGGACACCCGGCCTGTCAGGCGTTGGTTCTTCTTTCAAATTACCTCGTTTGCAACTCAGCATCCTGGCTTTGCCCCCCTTGTTGGGTCTGCTTTGCACATCGCGTCCCCACGCCCGATGTTTGCCATCGTTAGCGTCGCCGCCGCAGCCGGCCAGCGCTTCAGGGTTTCGTCATGCGGACGGCGGCCCGCACCATGTTCCTAGGCCTGCTCTTCGCACCGGCTAATCAGTTCCGAGCCTCTTCCCCTGCTATCCTACTCAGAAAATGTGGCCTCTTTGCCATTTTTAGAGGAGAATGGCAAGATAATGGAGCTGAAACAACCCAGCTGTTGCCGTATTTGTGGCGGGCGCCTTGACAGCTTGAGCTGGGCGCAGCAGGGCTGAGGCCGTCTGAGAGTGGCCTGCAGTGTGTACCGGTACCGTACGCGCTTTGGGGGCTGGCAGCTCATGCTGGGTGGCCACTCCTTGTCAAACTCAGACTTCCTTTGACGTCAGGAGCATCACACATCGGCCCAAGGTTCGTACTCACCGGGTTCTCACTCGATTTCGCAGAGTTCTGCAAAAGTGTGAGATGTCTTCCCGCGGCCCTGGCCCGATAAAAGCCAAAGAACAAAAACCAAACAGCGTCACTGGTTCGAATCACAACCCTCTGCCCGCTCTCCTCATAACCACCACTTTCAGACCCCCTGTCGCCATCGCTGCGTGCCACTGACAATGATCGGCAAGTGCCTTGCTGCTATGTGCGGCTGCATCGCTGCGATCTGCTGCTGCGGCGCCTGCTGCGTTGAGGAGACCGTTGAGGAGGTCGTCAAGTACGCCTGACAAGCCACCGGCGGGGCCTCCTCAGGCGCTGCACACTGCGGCCGGCACACCTGGCATCACTTGCTCTGTGTGTATGACCAGAGGGAGGCGATTTCCCTGTGAAGCATTGTGACTGGTAACCCCCTTTCAAGCAATCTCCTGTCTTCAGCATTTGAATTTTCAACTGTGAAACCTGCGGCTTGTATTCGGCTGTTGGCGCGGCTTGCGCTCAACCCCGCCGCTGTCAGCCATGACGTTTCTTGTTGCGTTGATGCTGGCTACCCCGAAGAACAAATCTCCGCGCTGTGCAGCGCCGAAAGGCGGTGCCGCATGTTCAATTTGTAACAACCTGACAAAGTTCAGCAGAACCGGTTGCCGGGCGACAGACAGGGGGCTTGCATGGCGATGTACTGACTCCCAGGTGCCGGGACGGCTGTCCTTCTTGCGGCCTTGGGGCAGCCTTGAGGCGCAGGGCGTGGAGGCACACCCAGGGATGGTGATTGCGGCGCTTTGATGTGCTACGGAGCCGGGGCCGCGGGCGTGCCTGGCGCTTGAGTGGCTGGCTGCCCTTTTGTGCTGCTGCTGCAACAGGCAACGGGGTGGCTTCCGGAGGCACGGGATGTCGGCCATGGGTGGGGCAGCAATGCGCGACAGGTGCGAGGTGGTATTGTAAGGCGTCAGGGTTCCTTATGCCATGTGACTGATCAAGCAAGGCGGCTTGGGTGCCTTTTGGCCGGGGCTTGTAAGCACTACGGCACCGATGGGCTGCTGAGGTCAGGAATGGCGCGCGCAATAGCAAGCATAGCAATGGGATCCCAGGGGCGGATCATTGTGGGCCAGGAATCAAGGTAGCACCGGTGGCGATGACTACGACTTCCCTGTCACTTATTGGTCCGTTGCTCTCAAAGATGGTATCGTGCAACGGCTCAGTGCGCTGCCCCAGAGGCCGACAAGCGCGTCAAGCGAGCACCCGACAACGACGGTCAAACGTCAAACAGGTGGCACAGCCCAGCAGCGAGCTCACGGCTCGTCCCTCGCTGGCGCACCTGGACGATCATCACTGCACCTGGATTGAGTTGGACATGCAGACCCAGAGCCCGGCGCATGGGTCTGGTGCATGGCGTCCGCGGCTCTTGCTGGACCGCTGAGTGATTTCGCAGGGGTCAGCCGCACCCGCACTCCAGCCCCTGACGCCGAGGCCGCCCCGCCGCAAAGCCGGTGATTCGCGGTGCGCATGTCCCCTGGGTACCAGATGAGACAAAGCTCCTGGGTGGTTTGCTGTGCTTTGCAGCTGGACAGACTGCATCAAACACAACGCACCCATCTGGGACGGGTAGCCAGTGTTGAGATTTAATTACTCGGGCAATTGGCATGGACATGATGCTGCGTCTCCCTGGCATAGAATGGAACCACGTGTCATAAACAGATCGGTGATGTCAGATGACAGGGGTCCGTGCCTCAACTCCGGTGGCCCACCTCTGGGACAGTTGAGGGAGCTGCAGACCAATGCTGGTCACCTGGTGACACTTGCATCTGCACTCTGCAGAGCAACATGCCATCCCACCCGCAAGCTGGAAATCTTATCGTAGTATTCATGCAAAAGGGTGGGCCTTCTCGGCAGCGATCCGATCAACACACCCACAGCCACGATACTGTAGTCTGAGTAGACGTTAGAGATCAAGCATCAGAAGCGCCCAAAATAAATTTCACAATAACAAAGCCATCTGGCATGATTCTTCATCGCTTGCAAGCCGTTGTGCAGACCGCTCGACACGGCGACTCCGCACCTGGCTCGTGGCGCCGAGTGCGCGTCGCTACGCTCGGCACGTCCGCCGCCGTGGCATGCATGGCGGCGATGGCGGATGCAGCACAGGCGCGCGGCGGGCTGAAACGACCCGCTCGGGTGCAGCAAGTGCTTGGTGAGCACCCGCACCACCCATAGGTTGCGACAAGATAGCATTTTCTGAGCAACCGCCGTTGCCCCGCACCTGCACGCTGTGCTGCATCAGTGCAGGACAATACCGGTCCTGCTTAGCCCATCCTCCTCTGTTGAATTGACGCAGACCACCTAGCGTCCCACCCCATGCGGGTCACCTCCCAGGCCATGCAGTACGACGCGTCGCCCTCGACCCAGGTGAGGGCGGTACAGCACTCAGGCGCACATGGCTGCGGTGCCCCAGGCTGTTTCCAGGCCCACGCGTGCATGCTGTCGAGGGCCGCGTACACGTGGCTATGGGCTGACTGCCAGATGGCGGCAGAGTGGGCCACCAGCCTAAGCATGGCTATAGCCGCTGCTTTCGGCCTGTAACGACTGCAGCTGCGGCCCCCTCTTGAGTTTGCCACGCATCCTGCCTACAATCACCCGACCGCCCGCCCAGCTTCCGCCCTGCGCCGCGAGCCTCACCCCGGACGAAGCGCTGCCCCCACCAAGCGGCGGCGCCGGCGACTCGGTCGCGCGGCAGCACTATGGACGCGTCATCGCGGCGCTGCTGTACGTCGCCACCGGCGGCCTAGACCAGGCGAGCACGCGGCGCGCACGCCGGACTGCGCGTCGCGCACGCCGGACTGCGCGCCGCGCGCCATCGCACACCCTTATTCCTTGCTCGTTTGTTTGCTGGCCGCCGGCCGCTGCCCTGCGCTGCACCAACATACCCCCGACCGCGGCCGAAGCTTGAAACGATGCCGTGCCACATCTTCCAGAATCGCTTGTTGGCGCGTTGACGTGGCGCCCCGTCCCCCTATGCCCGCCCATTGGCGGCCGCGCCCTGCACCCTGCAGGCGCATAACCTGGTCACGCCGCTGTGCTGGGGCTCCTGGACGGCCTACGTGAGTTGGCAGGCAAAGCGGGCGCCCCTCAAACCATTTGAAACTGATCAGATGCTTGATTGTATGGGATCCGAAGGGAGCCCCAGCAGCCGCGCGCCGGGGCCTCCCGCCCATTGGCCAAGCGCCGCGTCATGCCGCATTCGCCCTTGCCGAGCTCCCCCACAGCTGCAGCCCTTGAGCGAGCGGCGGCTGGCTCGACCCCGCCGCAGCCCCGGTGCCGGCTCGACCCAGCCGACCCTGACCTCGACTTTCCTGCCCACCACAAACCCCGGCCGGGCACACCCAGGGCGGCGCCCCGATTGCAGGGTCACCCGCAGCGAGGGACGCCGCGTACGTCCACGCGCTCATCCACCGGCAGGAGGGAAGGTGCGCTGACGTGCAGTCGCGCGAGTATGCGTGTTCTTGTGTGGAAGTGGGCTTGTGCCGGGGAATGTGTTTGTGTGTGCGTGTGTTTGCGCGTGCGTGTGTGGGCAGAGGCGGCCGCTTGTGCCGTCTGTCGTAGGTGCATGCACGAGCACTGCTCGGCTCAGCCGCCTCTGGCGCAGCTCACGCTGGTTTACCTGGAGTCCAGAATAATCAGCTGCGTCGACACCTGTCATCATTTCAAAGCTGCCCTAAATTTTACACACGCTCTGGAATCCACTGCCTGGAAACAGAGCCTGCTGTGGCCTCTGCCCCATCCGCACCCTCATCAACGCCCCATCTGCACACCCATTTACCCAGCCCTGATCCACTCCTGTCCGGCCCCTTTCCACATAAATGTCCGCAGCTGCGACGGCGAGTTCGGCAGCGGCTGGTCAAACGCCAACTACTGGTACTCATCCGCCTCCGCAGCTTCCCACCCCATCGCGCCCCGCCTTGCCGACGCCGCCCGGCGGCTGGCCCAGGGCGACGCCGAGTTGGAGAAAGCCGCAGCATCGCTCACCGCCGCCGGCGGCGGCGGCGCGGCGGGGAAAGGCGGCGCAGGGGGTACCTGGGACCCTTTGCGCTTCGTGGGGCTGTGCGCGCGGGCGGCGGAGGGCGGGGATGCGCGGCTGCTGGGGTACTGCGGGCAGCTGATGGGGCGCGAAGTGGAGCTGCTGCTGGACCACTGCTACGAAGCTGCGGCCGCGGCAGCTGCTGGTCGCAAGACGTAGTAATATGCCACGCGCCCACACGTTGTGTGCTGGGGAGGATAAGCACCGGGGGATCAAATCAACTGTGACAGTTACACGGAATTGCGTTTTCAGGAGGCGACTTGCATTGGCGAGTCAGATGCTGCAATTGTGATTCCCCACCTCCAGCGCCAAACTACCAGGCGCTTTGCATGCTATACCATTGATTCCCAGGCCCCCGTTCCGCACGACTGGGGCACCAAAACATGTGGGTGGCCAGCCCTGGGCACGTCGGCAGGCACTGGGTTTGCTAGCCTCAGCAGCGGGAGCCGCGTGACGCAGCTGCTGCACCGCAGTTAGGATGCAGTGCCCATCAGAATGGCCTAGCCCCGGCGCCTGCAAGGAAGCAACTGCGATCAATACGCAGCGGGCCTGCTGCAAAGCCCGGCGTCAACACCATGGTGTTGGCCATGACACAAGCACACAGCCCCTGTCTACACACAGGCAACGTCTACATCACAGCCATCCAACCACATACTGCCTGCCAAGCGCTGCTCTGGGGGTGGGCACGTGCGGATGGCCCCGCCGGGTGCCTACTCGTTTTTCCCGAAACCCTTTGCACCCTTGCCGGGCGCGCCGCCGGCGGCGCCCTTCTGCGGCGGCCACGCGGACGCCGGCCCCTGCGCGCGCAGCGGCCGCTGCTGCTGCTCCTTCAGGGCCTCCACCGCGCCCTCCAGGTTGCTGGCGCTGTCCACCTCGCCCAGCCGCGGCGCGTCGCCGCGCTTGACGCCTGTGGGCGCCGACGCGGGCGAGGGTGGCGGGGTCGAGGTGCTGTGATGTGAGTGAAGGCGGCTGTTTTGTGGTGGGGCCGCGGCGGGATTCCCCAGCCAGAAAAAGCTGCCACGCGACCGCTTTATATGGAAGAATTCTACTACCAAAGATGAGCGCGACAGCTCTCCAGCACACAATGTTGTCTCCATAGCTGTCATGGATGCCACGCAGAACGAACTCCTGAAACAGCAAGCGTGTCGTCGCAAGGGACGCCCAAGGAGTGCGCGCACCCGTGCCGGCCGGGGGCTTGGCGCCCTCCGCGGCGCGCATGTAGGTGTCGGTGGCGCTCGCAGTGAGAGAGGCCCTCAGATCCTTCAGGTTGCGGCGCAGGTCCTCACGCCCCTCCGCAAACAGCAGGAACCTGGCCAAGAGGATTTTCAAATCCAGATTGAATCAACACAAATCAACTTGGTAGATGATACAAACAGGCACCCGCTCAACGATGATGCAGCCCGCCTGGTGGTCCAAGGGGCAGGGCGAGACTCTGTCGCCCACCCAACTGTGCGGTGCAGCTTCCCGTGCTGTCACATGTGCTGTAAGGCACCCAGACGCCCCGCCTGCCCTCGTGTGCCCCTCAAGCGAGCTGCTCGCTGCCATCACAATTCATCTCACAACTCATTTGCTGTCTGGTTGCCCTGAACAGGTTTCAAGGCGCGAAACCAACCCCTCCATCCACCTGTGCCCCAAAATCATCCGAGAAATGACATCATCAGCAACCGACGAGGCCCGTCCCAGCCCCTGCAGGCACAACTCATTCGCTGTCTGGTTGCCCTGAACAGGTTTCAAAGCGCGAAACCCACCCCTCCATCCACCTGTGCCCCAAAATCATCCGAGAAATGACTTCATCAGCAACCGACAAGGCCCGTCCCGGCCCCTGCAGGCGAAATATCTGCCTACCTACCGCTTGCAGCAAACTACCTGCCCACCTGCTGCTTGCAGCAAACTACCTGCCCACCTACTGCTTGCAGCAAACTACCTGCCCACCTGCTCCCTTGCAGCAAACTACCTGCCCATCTGCTGCTTGCAGCAAACTACCGCCCCACCTGTAGGTGAACCACCCCGAGTAGGTGGTGCCGACCAGCTTGAGCAGGAAGGGCAGCAGGGGCAGGTGGTCGACGGCGTCAATGAGGCCGCCGGTGACCCAAATGGCCACGGCGATGGCGGCCGTGTAGCTGCGGGGGTGAGAGCGTGGCCGCGCCAGAGGGCGAGGGTCACCTCAGACCGGAGGGCTGGCAGCCTGCTGCGGCTGATGTTTTGCTCGGGGTCAAAGGGGGCTGCGACAAAACTCACAAGTCGTAAAACACAGCCCAGCGGCGTCTGCGCTGAGCCCTCCCTGCGAAAGCACGTAGCTCTCCCGCCATCCCATGGCAGCACACAGCACAGACAATCCTAACCGTGTGCGCGTAGCGCCGCCTGCTGCGGCCTCGCACTGCTGTTGCAGGGGGCAGCTCACCCGAGGACCTCAACCTTGTTGGTGGTGGACTCCCACTTTGCCACGGCACGGTTGGCAAACTCCTTCGCCTTTCTCAGGGCGTCGGGCTGGTCGTACTGGGGTGGAAGGAGGGACATTGCACACACGCTTGCGTGCGCATGCATGGCCGTGCGTGCGTGTTCGAAACACTGTTTCGTGGTGTGCGTGCGAGGGTTTGTGCGTGTACACGCATGTCACATGCGTGCACGGTGCGTGAAAGGGCGCTTGGGCGAAAGTCTGCCCAATCAGAGGCGCGCGCAGCGTTGATTGGGCCAGCCACCCACATCCATGTAGTAATCCCCTGTGCCTCCAGTCATCTGAGGGTTGCGGGCAGGACCAGGAATCGCGTAACAGCGCAGCCTCAGGGGCGGGACGGAACCAGTGGGGATGCGTGCGTGCGACGGGATGAGTGCAGTTGCAGTTGAGGGTGCTGGGCGTCGAAAGGCCCAGGAGCAGTGGGTTCGCGGCGATGCGGGAAGATCCTGCTCGGGCCAGTTTGCCAGTCAAGGCATGACACCTGACCCATATGGCATTGAGCCCACGCCGCAACGTATTGCACAACATGCAGATCGCCTGTGTGGCACAAGGGCTCACGTCGACGTCGCGCTGGCCAACAGGGGGCGGAAACTTGGTGCGCTGCTCCGTGTCGCTGCCTGCCAGGCGGATGGCGGAGGGTGGGGGG